AGACACCTTGAATTCATTTTTGACAAAATCATAGGAAATCCTCTCCGTCCATGTAAATAACACGGCACGCTTATCATGTCGCTTGATATAACCCGTAGCAGGATCAGCGGTGGTTTCATAATCAAGTTTGAATGCAATAACCATAAGGCCAATCTGCGAGTGTGAGTGTTCTTTACTGATGGGATGTATGGACTGCCAGCCTTTTGCCAATTCATTGCAATCAAGACACTTCAAGTCAAATGAGTAACAACCAAATGAGTAACCCTCATACATTCCCAAGGCATAAATCTTGTCATTGGCTGCAAAGAAGTAATAATCAAATCGTGTTTCTGAAAGGTAAGGAGCTTCATTCCATTCACCCTTCATATTACGTGTATCATGATAAAATAGATGCCTTAAGCATGTTCCCGTAAAACCACGGAGGGTGAAGATATAAGGCCCAACAGAAAATGGAAGCCAGCCAAAAACTTTGAAGTAGGGAAATCTAGGCTCCTCCTGAATGGCGGGATGGATGTGCCTATCCTCACTGACAGGCATGTGCTGTGTAGAAATAGAAAACCACCTAGTTTCGTAGTCTGTGTGGGGGTCTAATAAGCTTCCACAGTTATGCCTTCGGGAATATAAACGGAAATAGATGGTGACATCTTCAGCTTCAGAATTGGCACCAATGCTAGATCCACAATCAGATTCAGCTTTAAAAGATGCCGTCGTTGATCTTTTGGCATTTCCTATAGATGAGAAGTAGAGCGTTCTATTAAGGTCTAACCCAAGCCCTATAAATTTCCACTTATTTCATTGTAGTAGGCATGGTATGTTAATTTTATAAAAAAAAAATATTCAAAGTTGTAGTAGAAATCCCATACAAGCAGAAAACTCCATTTAATTGAATCCACTAAAAAAAGGGGTTGCACTTCTTGTGGTGAAAATGGATAAGCTTTAATCATAGAATTGAGAATAAATAGTGTAAGCAACAGATTCTTGTGAAAGTATTAGTACTCTGGAATTTGGCATACATTTAACACTACCCACCTTAACATAATAAAAGGGAAAAAAAAAGATTTAATAAGAGCATACAAACCTTTGTGTGTGTGTGAGAGAGAGAGAAATCCATACCTGATACAATGCGTTTTCTGATATGGGCTGCTAAACGAGTATGATTTTCACGGACATGTACAGTGTCGTTGTTGGTCGAGGAATCCTCTGCTCCTAAATACAGATGGACATATATAATATTACACACCCTCTGCTCACAAACATATAATATTACACACCCATCGATTATGTGTGTACAAGGATCCATACCTGATGTCGCCTTCATCTGAAGGGAGCGGTATTTGTGAATGAGTTGCCCGATCTGCCCTATTTCTTCTACCATCAAAGTATGATCTTCATGGAGATGCATCGTACAGTCTAGGGTCGATGAATTCTCCATTCCTAAACACCTATGGACAGAACCACGAGGAATCCAATTCTCCCTTTCCCTGATTTGATTTTGATGCGGTTGAGCAAGGGTTTCGGTGTTTTCTAGAAGAATTTATGAAAAAGGACATAACAAAAGGTTAGAATTTATGAATGTCTTGCTACATCTAGAAAGGCATAGCTTGAATCCTGTGTCTTTGATTCTCGAGAAATAACAAAAAAAAATCTTTCAACCAACTAACAAAATGTCACTGTATGTGACCGTTATTTCATAAATTCAACAGAAATATTAAAATTAATGACTCACCGTTACATTGCCATTGAAGGAGGATCATAGTTTTCGAAGGACCTAAACGGGGTCGTTTGAAGTCCAAGACGATCTTTAGCCCCTTCGACCAATCTTTGGAAACAATGCGCCTTCTCTCCGCAAAATTGTTCTGCTCTTCTTTCTCCTTGGCTATTTCCAACATTTTCAACCCTTATATTTTGCATTTTTTGGGATACCTTTAATTACTACCACACTTGTTTATCATATCAAACATCGATTCAAATGTCACGGTCAGTACAAGAGAAGAACTCTCACCAGACACAAAGGGAGGAGATCGAGAATGCAAAACAAGTATTTCTGATTCCCCTCACTTCAAATTGAACTATGCTCTTTTGTGACAACAACAACAACAACAACCCAGTTGAATCCCACAACAGTAGGGTCTGGGGAGAGTGTGTGTACGCAGACCTTGACAGTAAGCGTTAATATTCAAATATGGTCGAAAGGCCTTCCAAAAGCTTTTAAAATAGTTTTGTGTTTTTATTTCAGATTCCAGCATTGAAATGCACCATTGAAATGGAGAAGTTACTTAAATTGAAGTAAACTTTGAAATCTTCTTTGGGAGAGTTCCTGAATTTGATGAGTGATGGGTTGGGAGATCATCTAGAAGTCCTCATTTCACTACTACAAAAACGAGCATATAGATCACCCTCAATTGCATCGGTTATTGAAAACACCGATGCAAAAGGTCTAAAGCACCGATTGTTTTAAAAAATGATGTCATTGCTATTTTATAAAATTTTAAAAAAAAATTAAAAAAAGTATTGGCATCGGTTATTAAAAATAACCAGTGCAATTGATCAATAACATCGGTTCTTTTAAACAACCGATGCTAATATCTATTTTTATTTTTTCATTTTTTTATTAATATGAAACAACATCCGTTCCTTGAACCCATGCCAAAGACTATGCCTTTATTTACTCTGTATCTCTTTTCTCGTTCTGATTCCTACTTTCAATTCCAGATCGCATCCACCCGCCATCTCTTGCCTTCACCGCCACCATCTTCGTCGTCCATCGCTTCAGAAGCGGTGTTGGCTCATAGTTAGGATCAAGAGATTGGTAGGGAGAATTGCTCTCTAGAGAGATGATATTCAGCTCGTTGTTGTCAGTGATCTGTTCATCACTACTGACTACATGGTAATTTTTTTTTGCATTTCTGTTCGGTTTGTTTAAGTGGTGTGGATATATGCTTTTTATTATTAATATCGGATTATAGGTTCTTAGATCTGTTGAATCTGATGAGATTTTGCTAGAATCCCTAATTTCTTTGGTTTATATTTATTAATTAATTCCAATTTTTATGGCTTTTTGAAATTGCAAATGTTGTTTATATGTCTAGATTAGGGTAAATTTCAGTAATGGTACCTTAACTTTTACTGGAATTTCGAGTGGTACCTGAACTTTAAATTCTTTCACAAAAGTACGTACCTGAACTTACATAATCCTTTCGCTAAAAGTCCATTTACCCGTTTCCAGGTTAACTTCCAATCTTTTGGGCTAAATTAGAATTTTATATATTTTTAAATTTTCAATTTGACCCCTTTTCTTTTTTCTTCTTCTTCCCCCTCCCACTGCCTTCTTTTTATTCTTCTTTCACCCATTTCTTCTTCTTCTCCTTCTTCCTCACAAAAGATTTGTTAGTAATTTTTTGAAACAAGATTACTACGAGGAGATGAGGTCCAACTGATTGATGCTGCTTCCAGGACGAGGTTCGATGAGTGGGGATACTCACGGGTGTTACAAGAGTCGGTATGTCTCGCTCAAGACACACTGACGGACTATGGCTATGCAGAGGAGATGGAGGAGCTTCTTGAGGGGACCAGAAGGTAGCGCCTACTTTAGCTGAGGGCAGAGTCAAGCCTTCCACTCACCATCGAGTTCTTATGCTCGTTATCTACTGTCCCGGAGATTGAGTCACGCCAGATGACTCATACTTTGATCACTGCCGATACTACATTTGCCTTCACTCTTGCGGGCCAATCATTTTAGTTGACAGTGGGAGAGATGGCTATTCATCTCGGGCTTTACACCCAAGAGGAGACCAAGCAGCCTGAGTTCTACGACGCCCCTTTTCGTCTTCATACAGACTTTGACCACAAGGCTTTCTGGAGGGAGCATTCATCTGACGAGCAGGAGTTTGTCAACACGAAGAGTAAGGCGCGATACTGGATTCGGTTGAGCTGGAGGATCCTATCTCTTGTTCTTTCGACATCCTTCTTTGGGAGGCAGTCGAACACAGATAGGGTCTACGAGAAGGATATGTTTGTTCTTTGGAGCTTGCACGTCTGCCGGCCGGCGAACGTGGCTGTGTACCTGGCTAGGTTTCTATACTCCAATCCTATGGGTGTAGGACGCACTTGGTCTGTGGGTTCGTGATTACACTGCTCTTTCGCTCCCTCATGGGGAACGCACCGATCCCACGAGCTGTCCAATTGATGAGGGAGTTAGATGCCGGCATGCTCCGGAATGCTCACATCCAGTGGAGACTCTTTCCTGGCTCTTCAGAGAGCACGGCTTCTACTGACCGCACTTCACCTGAGATGGGAGAGTCTTCTAGTCAGTCCACAGATGACCCACCAGAGCACAGTTGGCTCGCGCTCAGACGGAGGTAGCACCGGCATGGGCCCAGCAACTCTTGGAGAACCAGAATACACTTATGTGGTCCGTCGTAGCACTCCAGCAACAGGTGCATGGTTTAGACAGGATGCGTGAGGCATTGGGTTTTGAAAACCCAACAAACCTCCCGCCGCATCAGCAGCATCCCCGAGACGACGACCCCTCCACCTCCTTGCCCCCGCAGTGATCTCCTACTTTTTTAGAAATTTTTATCTTGTTTGAGCTGGAACTGATGACTTGACTGGTTTATTTGGATTCCTATTTGACTTCTTCTGGTAAACTTTTATGGTTTTACTTATCTACTATTTCAATCATCATTTTGAATATTTTACATATGCAATCATCTTAGTCATCATATCCTTGATATTTCAAAAAAAAATTCTACTCTAAAACACTTTTTTTGCCTCGGGGGCGCGGTTCCGTTTAAGTGTGAGGAGGATGTGAATTATGGGTTGAAATATTCTTAGTTTGAATGGTTTGCTTTGCATATTTGTGGGTAAAGATTTTATAAGTATGATCATCAGCTCTTTTGTTTAAATAGTTACGTTTTTAGTTATCACCCATAAAAATTGAAAATTTTGAAACTTTTTGTCAAAACTTTAGTTATCACCCATAAGTTTTTTTTAGATCAATCAATTTTTAAATAGCTTCTTTAAAAATGTCGTTTCTCATTCAGGTCTCTTCTAAATATAAGGGTCTATAAAAAAATTCTAATCTTTTATTTTTTATATATAATATTTGAGAGTTGATATTCTAAGAATGTGCCATTTGGCGATGTTTGTTGTCTATTTTTTGACACGTAATTACTAGCCACGTGTTGCCGTCCCCTCTTCTTTCTCCCATTGAAACTATCGCAGAAGGAAATGCATAATTTCTTTCCTATTAACTTTTTAACTTAAACAATTAAGGAAGAAATCGGCGGAGCTTTCGCTCGGAGGCCGCAAGTTTCCTTCCCCATTTTCTTTCCTTCCTCGCCGTTCCTTTCAATCGAAAATACCGAAATTGAGATTAAAAATACCAAAATTAGCCGAAATCCATAGCTATTCAGCCGATTCTCTCTTTTGATTAAGATCCAAAATGTCAAAATTGAGATCCAAATTTGAGATGTGTATTCTCTTCTTCACCAAATAAAATAAATTAAAGGAAATCATTCCTCGTAAGTGGTCTCTGAGTTTGTCCGTGCGGCGGAGGATCCTGTGGCGCGCAAGGGTATGTGCATGATGGGTTGGATACTTACAAATACATATATGGCTTTTGGGGTAGGCAGATTGTGGAATTTCTTAATTATTATTTTCATTGCAATGATTGGGTTTTTCTCTTAACAGTTGTTGATTCAGTCTCCTTACAATTCAATTGCATTTAATTGAATAGATTTAATTGGAATATAAGGGAGCATGAAAGAAATGATGCTCCAATTTTGTACCAACTCATTTGCTAGATTAGAGCTCTTGATTATGGGTGTTAAAAAAATTGAATGCATCAGTATTGTAGATAGGTTTTATAAATGTGAAGTATATATTTGCAATGGTTTATGGTGGTTTTTTATTGTTTAATTATCTGTCTTATTTTAAATGTGAAGTATATATTTGCAATGGTTTATGGTGGTTTTTTATTGTTTAATTATCTGTCTTATTTTAAAAGATCATTATGGGACAAGCGTGCACTGTGCAGCAAGGAATTAGAAAAAAGAATGTTAATATATAGTCAAACAGTGAAATGGTTCATACTACACTTTCATTATTTGAGCTTTGGTCTTAGGGGTTTTGGATGTTTTTTTAATTTTCAAGCATAATGTCTTTTTTTGTTTCATTTTCTTCACTGAAAAAATGCATGAGAGCTGTGTTTAGTCTTGGTGAATTAAACTCAAGTACTGATTCATATAATCGATTGACATCTTCGTATTCTTATATTGTAATTTGTTTTACTCTTTTGGTCACACCTTATTTTTCTATGTGTCTAGACTGTCCACACCTTGAATCTGTTTCTCATGAAGTATTAAACTGAATATAGAGTTTGTTTTTTTACTTTTTTTAGCAAGATAATGACCCCCCCCCCCCCTATTTTTTATTTGATTGAAATTTTAACCATATCTCTAATGTTTGTTTATATTGTGCGTATTGTTGGCTTATAATAAATAAAAATGCAATATATGTTTTATTGAAATAAATGAAAAAACAAGAAAAATAGGTTGTAACATTGTACTCTTTTAATCTGAAAGATCATATCTTTGGTTTTTTTAATTATACATAAAATGTAATATATGTGGTGCTTACATGTTTATCGTTTGCTCCTGAAATAAATTCGGTGATAACTGTTGTAGTCCTTTGTTGTGATATAACGGGGGAATTTATTATTGCAGTGTGAAGGGGTTAATTTTATGATTTTTGGAATTCTTTATTTACTTCCAAGGTGCAATATTTTATTATCGTATGTTACTCATATATGACATAAATAATTATAATAATTGGTACTATGACTCGTGCAGGTAATGTGAGTGATTAATAAGCCTAGCGGTGGGAAGTTTTGGTGTATGAGTTGTGAGAAGGTCATCAACGGTGCTATTCCAAGGTATGATATACATCGTTAAGAATTTTTTCTAACATGTCACAAGCATTACAAAGCTCTTTATTTTGTATGAGGACATTGAGAAGATTATCGACCAACCAGCTATTTGCGTAATTTCTAAGGATATACGGATTATACCACAGGTTCAGTACCGGATGCAAATCTAGATCGCAAATTACAGATTCAATACTGGGTTTTTTTATTATTCCATATTTTCAATTCCTCAACAGTCCTAGGAAACCACCAAATTTATAATCTTAATTTTACCGATGTAGAGCTATGCATATTAGCATATTGCTTTGATAATATTTTCTCTATTGGAAACACATTCATGACTCATCAAGACTATAGTGTCCTTTGCCAACCTCAACTCAACATTAGAAAGTGGAAAGGTCACAGCTCAACCACAAGTCATTATTGGTCGTGTTTTCATTAAAAAAAACTATAAGAAAAGTCTAAACTCAATTTGAATTTCCACTATTATACAAAAAGTATATATATCTAAGTTAAAATTGATCTATTTGGGGTCAAAATAACATGGGTTAGACTTAGTTTTTTTACTTTTCGATTCTTAGGTTGCCTAAGATAGTACAAAATAAATTTCAAATATGCAAAAATATTTCAAATTGTATTACTTGACCTAAAAAAAATACTCAATATCAATGATACATTCTACTTGCATTGATAATTTGATACTTATTTACTTAACTATGATAATGGCAATTTTATATTTAACTAATCATTGAATCTAAAATGTCTCTTTGCTAATGGCAGTACTGGCGGTTTAATTGCTCCAACACTTGATGTTGGGGCGAGTTCTTTAGCACCAACTTTGGGAACGATTGTCCCTTTGATTGGAGCAAGTGGGTTAGTAGTTGTTGCCAGTGGAGCTAAAATTATTAATGGGTCGGTCCATGCCAGTTGGTGCATCATTTGAAGCTGTAAACGCCTACAAGAGCTAGCATCGGGGTGTGGAGTAGTAGTTTCTTGGTCCAAGTTCTCTTCATAGTTACTATGTAAGTAGTATAAGTTTTAGAAGATTGTTTGGTTAACATAAAGTGCATCTTTAGTAGACAAAAATAAAGAGCATTTTAATGTTAGGCGTACCAAATACAACCAAAACAGGGGTTCATATCTATACTCCCAAAAACAAAATTTGAAAAAAATATGAATGATATTTCCTGATTTTTTAAATCATGTTATGACCTGACCATGTGGTAGCAATCAATTCTATGTCCATGAATGCTAATTATTACGGAGTATTTTGTATTCAATGTGAAAGATGTGTCTAAAGAAAGTGCACAACCTGTGGCATTTAGGCAAATGTTATTTGACAAATCATTTACTCCTTCCGTTCTAAAATTAACTTCTCATTTTGATTTTTGCAGTTAACTTTTTTAAACTTTGACCATATATTATGGAAAAATACATTTAATTTTTATATAAATTTAGTAATAGATTCATTTTGAAACATAGTTTTGAAATATATAATTTTTATAAAATATATTTATATAAAAATTGAGATATTGATGGTCAAAGTGTCGCATTGGAGACTGTGATGAAAAGTCAAATGTGAACTTTTAGGACGGAGGGAGTATTTTTTAAGTTGAAGTCAAGAAATCTCGATTGAGTGACTTTAAGCTTTTGTTTGATGCGATTGACATTTTTTTATGAGTGAATTGTTAAAAAGTTTAAGTAATTGAGTTTTTTTTCTTAGCCCAAAATTGAATACATAAAAACAATTTAACTAGAAAATGTAGTATAAAAATATTGTTTGTGGGCACAAACATTACACATGTCCTCATAGTATATTTATAGTCATACTTCAAGGAAATGAAATTGTAGTCTACTTCTAAATAGCATATTTTATTTGTTATTTTACATGGTATCAGAGCCACCGTTCTTGGTGACCTAAATTTCTCCCCTTTCGCTTCTGGCGGGCGGCACCGCCATTAACTGCTGCCCCCCGGATCATTGTTTTCCTCTGACCCAAATTCTTCCATTATACAAAAAAAATCTCTGTTATAGTCACCGGCGTCTCTAACGTTCTGACCGGCGATTCCTACTCCACCAAACTACCGGCCTCCCTTGGCGCCAAGATCGCACCTGTTCACTCGAGAGTAACATTAGGCACAGGTTCACTTTGCCTTTGAAAGGGGTGTCCTTGGTGTCATCGGTGTTCTAGGGACTATCAAGATGCCTTATCCCTCTAGAGCCTCTGATTTGGCTCATTGATCAGAAATCCTTCTCCTCAAATCACCCTTCAATGCCTATTTTTTTCGATCTCTCACAACTCATATCATCACCTCAACCTGCTTCGTGGGTAGATCTTCGGTCAACATGCATCTCCGGCAGTACCTCATTCCTTATGTTTCTTTTCTAACCCAGTCACGCACGACTCCAGCGCGCGTCAACCTTCTCCCTCTTTCGACATCAGCAGCATGAGTCTGTTCGCAGCTACTTTTCTCCTCTCCTCATAAGCGCCATCAGATCTCTTTACTAGCAATCTTTCTTCTTCTCTTCTGGGCCGGATGCATTCTGTATACTCAAGCCGAAGATATGCCTCTAGTTTCTGATTACAATTCTGGTCACGATTCAAGTAAAAGTTGGTGTTCACTCTTCACCTTACAAGACGTTGGTAGCATGTTAAATATATTAATTATTTTAATATATTTAGTACTCCGTATTATATACTCCGTATTATAATTATGGTTGTTACCTATTATAGTTAGAGTTATTATTATATAATATTACCTTATATAATTAGTCATTAATATGGAGGATTCTAGAATATATTCCTCCACTTATAAATACATACTTTATATTTCTCTCTTATTCATTCAATCAATAAAGCGTTCTTTGTTATTTTACATGGTATCAGAGCCACCGTTCTTGGTGACCTAAATTTCTCCGCTTTCGCTTCTGGCGGGCGGCACCGCCAGTAACCGCCGCCCGCCGGATCACTGTTTTCCTCTGACCCAAATTCTTCACCATATCTTGAAACTACAAAGTTTTCTAGTTTTTTTGTTGTCCGGCGATTTTAAAAAAAAGAAGAGGTCTAAATCAATTCCTACTCCACCAAACTACCGGCCTCTCCTAGCGCCAAGATTGCACCTGTTCACTCGAGAGTAACATGAGGCACAATTAGTGGGTAGATCTTCGGTCAACATGCATCTCCGGCAGTACCTCATTCCTTATGTTTCTTCTCTAACCCAGTCGTGCACGACTCCAGCGCGCGTCAACCTTCTCCCTCTTTCGACGTCAGCAGCATGAGTCTGTTCGCAGCGGCTTTTCTCCTCTCCTCATCAGCGCCTTCTCATCTCTTTTCTGGCAATCTTTCTTCTTCTCTTCTAGTCCGAATGCATTCAGTCTACTCTAGCCGAAGATATGCCTCTTGCTTCTGATTACAATTCTGGTTACGATTCAAGTAAAGTTGGCATTCAATCTTCACCGTTCAGGACGTTGGGAGCATGTTAAATATATCAATTATTTAATATATTTAATATTATATATTATAATTATGGTTGTTACCTATTATAGTTAGAATTATTATTATATAATATTACCTTATATAATTAGTCATTAATGTGGAGGATTCTAGAATATATTCCTCCACCTATAAATACATACTTTATATTCCTCTTATATCATTCAAGCAATAAAGTGTTCTTTGTTATTTTACATGAAGGATGTAAGTTTTTTTTAACAAATAATTTGTTATCGATATATAATATATTTTTCCTTTAGCCGATGATCAAATTTTGTCCAATTTAACTACAAAAGGATAAACTTGCCGAATATTTTAGGACAAGGGTAATAAGTAAATATAATTAAAATGGGATTAAAAAAATATAATATAAAAAATGATCTCACTTACCGAAGTTATCATTAGGTTTATGTTGTTGTTTAACCAGTGAAGACAAAGATAAGATTAAAACTATTGTTTATAGATGACAATGGAAATCTTTGCTACCATCACAAAATATTATATACCTTGAAGTCTTCTAAAAGTATTGAAATTAAAAATACTTTGTCGATTACACTTTCAATTTCTCAAATATTATTTATTTTACTTTGACTTTTGTGTCCATAGTATTAAGAATTGTGCTACAAATATCTTTTATTTATTTCATTCAAATATTATATCAAAAATAAATTAGTTTCAAAACAAAATTTTGTTTTGCCCCGTGCATTGGCACGGGTCAAAGTACTAGTGCTTTAAAATTTGTTTGTTGGGATTGTGCTTAAGTGACGAATTGGAAATTCTATCTCCGTAAAGGGGCTTTGCTTCTCCCGCTAATCGCATAAGGCGAGGGAGCAAGTATGCATTGGTCATAGAATAAATCTTCAATCTCAGTAATGCAAAATGCCTTGGTAATTCCGAGGATTCTCTCGTGATAAATAATGCTTAATAAAGTGATTAGGCTCTTATAGTTTGACAAAAACCTTTTTGGAAATCCATTTTTATTTGAGCTTTTAAACGCTTTTTGATTTTAAAATAATCCTTAGAAATATGATTGTCCCAATGCAAATTTAGAATTTAGTTTTGATTTAATTAGGTAAAAATATTGGTTTGACAAAATACTTTTAAATTTCTAACCATATGGGTGAAAATCTATAAATTTACTTGTTCACGCAAAAACGTTCGTTGATGACCATCTTATCTTTCTTTTCCTTCAAGTTGTGTAACTTAATTAAACTTTTCCTCTGTGATTACTAATTTGTTTTCATATTTAACTTATTCAATTTGTTGTCTAAGGGCAAGCAACGTTTAGGTGTGAGGAATTTGATAAGTTCATTTTGTTCTTATTTTATTCTTCATCTTTTAAGCGTTGTTGCACGAAAATAGTAATAAATTTACCCATTAAGTGTCTATTAGTGACAAAACTTATGTTTTGTCTCAACAAGAATAAAATACGAGTTCCAAATTAAATTAAGCGGATTTGTCAATTTTATGTCCCAAATTGGATGGAAAGTTTCAAATTTTAAAGAGCATAATACTTCAGAGGTAGAAATCATTGTCATGGAGCTAATTGGGCCAATACAGAACAATTTTGGGCCCAAAATCATGAGAAACCGCAATTGGAAGTAAAATGGGCGCTGGATACGGATCCTGGGCATCCAAAGTTGGACGTATGTGGTAGTTGGACGCCCAAGCAAGGCTGGATGACGCGGAATGACACGCAGCGCATCAGGATTGGACGGGCCACGTATTTCAGGTATGGGCGTATCCCTTGATAGAGACAGGAGGTGGCGAATCCCTTGATGGAGACTACCACTGTCACACGGTATTCTGGTAATGGTTAGAAAGAGGTGGCGAATCCCTTGATGGAGACGGGAGGGAACTTTGAGTGCAGATACCGTGATTGGGGGGAATAAGCCATGTAAAAGTAAATATAATTTCTCAAAATCAACTTTATCAAATTCCTGAACTCAATCACCACCATACAAAATTAATAAATAAAGTCAATAGCTAAATGAAATCAAAAAGTGAGTTCTGTAAATCAAGTCTATCAAAGTGAAGAACTAGACAGGACCAACCAACCAAATCAAAGCAAAGTAGAATATTTTATTGATGTAAAACTGTTACAGGATTATTTGTGTTCTCTAAGTATAAATAGAGAACAGACCAACATGACTTTTACTAACCAACACAACTATTACAAACCAACAAACCCATTAACAATAGAAACTACCCATAACTGCCTTTTAGAAACTACCCACTGTTTTTTTAATTAATTAAATATGTAAAACACACTAAACGACACCACACTAATTGACTCTATACTAACTGACCCGAACATTGACTCATTACCCATTCGGTTATATGTGAACAAACCCGATTATATCTAACAATCACGCCCCTAATCGTTGTTTGTTCACACTGATCTTCACAGCAATGTTGGTTCATCATCATCTTTAATCAAATTTGCAATGTGTTCCTATTGATCCCATTTTGGACATTCGTTCAAAAAATGCCCTAACTCATTGCACTTGAAGCACCTAATGTTTCCCGCTGAAACTGTCCACCATCCCGACTTTTCCCGGACCCCCGACCTCTACCTCGGCCACGTCCAAAGTCTTCTCGGTTTGAGCTCCAGCAACCACAATGCTCAGTTTTGTGCTCCTTAGCGTTCTCTTTTCCATCACTTTTAGTGAATAGTAGTTTACCTTGCATATATTCTTCCTTGGGTTAAGGTTGGCAAACTGTTAACTATTCTCCCTTGTAGTCACAATCTGTCTATTTTTGTTGTTCTCCCATTGCACTACTTTTATTCCTTCGACAATTTTCACAACATTCTTAACTTTGATTCCTTCCCGGGTCGTAAGCCACCTGCAATCCACCATCAACCAGAAAACAAGCCCTTGCTTTTCCGTCTTCCAAGCCACTAAACGAAAGCTACCCCGCTGATTCGTTTTTCCCCGCACTGTTTGGATGGAATGCTTCTGCCAAAGGGAAAAACTAGCACCCTACTATTTTTGTCCTAGGCAAGGAAGAATCTTGTCAAAGATTTTTGATCTGTTGTCGAGGAAGTCTCTAACACTTTGTATTATGATCTGGCAGCCCTTCTACTCCCGATCATACAAGTCCTGATCACACAAGACAGACCACTCCCTTTGGTCGTTGGGTCCTTATTGGATTTTTGCTCTGATACCAATTGTCAGACAGGACCAACCAACCAAATCAAAGCAAAGTAGAATATTTTATTGATGTAAAACTGTTACAGGATTATTTGTGTTCTCTAAGTATAAATAGATAACAGACCAACATGACTTTTACTAACCAACACAACTATTACAAACCAACACACCTATTAACAATAGAAACTACCCATAACTGCCTTTTAGAAACTACCCACTGTTTTTTTAATTAATTAAATATGTAAAACACACTAAACGACACCATACTAATTGACTCTATACTAACTGACCCGAACATTGACTCATTACCCATTCGGTTATATGTGAACAAACCCGATTATATCTAACAGAACTTCATCACATGTTTAAGAACTCAATAAATTTCAAGAATTTAACTGAAAACCTAAATAGCTTTGAAAAAAATCAAAAAGTCACAACTCAATTTATACCACATATCTCCATACTATCATTCACAAATATATGCCTCATTTTCTTTAAGAAATTTGGCAAACGAATAGGGAAAAAACAATAACCTTAAGTAATTGGCAGATACGGTGTCAATGTTGCTGCAACCATTGGCGTCAATTGCAATTGTCCGGACCAATAGTTGATACAAGAAGGAGAATGTAGTTGCTGAGTTGGCACAATTAGTTAGCAATTAGTGAGACAAATCTGGAGCTAACTAACTGATTTTGTTAATTCAGTTGTATCCAATTGTATATAATACGCATATCCATTGTAAAGATACGGTGTGAAATAATAAACAAGCTTCTTCTTCCCTATCTCTCTCTCAATTCTTCTCTCGGATGAATTCCCTGGATTGAATTGTTCATATTCTTCGAAATATCTCATTTCCTAGAATATTCTCCTTGATTTTTGGTATCAATTGGTATCAGAGCTTACGATTCTTGGCCAAGATGACGAGAACTAGAGCTTCTGAAGCAGTAAATGACGAATCTAAAGACAAATTGGCACAAATCCAGCTTCAACTGCAGAAGTTAATGGAAGGATTGACGCTCATCAACGATCGAAGCTCACAGACGGATCAGGAACTGGGCAAACTCAAGGAAATTCTGAAGAAAATGGAATCAAAGGACAAGGATGGGGATGGTGAATCGTCTCATATGAACAGAAGACACGATGGTTCACATCATGGTTCCACTTCTGGTAATTCACTTACACGGTTCTCTAGATTGGATTTCCCAAAGTTTTCTGGTCAGGAGCTTAGGGCTTGGCTCTATAAGGTGGAACAAATATTTGCCATGGATGATGTTCCACCTGACCAGAGGGTAAAGATTGCTGCCATCCACTTAGAAGGAGAAGCCATTGCTTGGCATAGATCATATATGCGTGATGTGAATATCAATAATTACAGTTGGACAGAATATGCATTGGCTCTTAATGAGAGATTTGGTGAAACCTTTGAGGATCCAATGGAGGAACTGAAAAACTTAGTTAAAAAAGGAACAGTTAGGGAATATCAAGCATCCTTTGATAGGCTTATGACTATTGTTAATCTGTCCAATGAGAATGCAATCAGTTGTTTCATTGGAGGATTAAAAACTGAATTGAACAAGGCAGTAAGAATGCATGCTCCAAAAACTCTGATGCAAGCTTATAAAATTGCGAGGTTGCAAGAGGAGGTGTTCACTGCTCAAGCTCAATCTTGGGGGCTAATGAGTGGTGGGAAACAATCAGGGGGGATTCTGCCTACCCCAAGCTGGCCAAAAGGGGGGGGCCTTCAGAAAGCAAATTCAAGTACAGTTTCTAAAATTGGTGGGGCAAATGGAATTCCTACAGGAAGGAGACTAACACCTGCAGAAATGGATGAGAAGAGAGCAAAGGGACTCTGTTTCTTCTGTGATGAGAAGTACGTTGTGGGTCATAAGTGTGCCAATAAGAAGCAAATTTTTTTGATAGATATGGAGGGAGATGAAGAGGACTGGGTTGATAAAGGTGCTACAATGGAGCCTGTTGGTCAAGAAGGTTGGGATGAGCTTATGACCATATCATTGCAGGCTCTAATGGGTGTTTCAGGGTACCAGACACTTAGAGTCACTGGATATCATGAAAAGCAACCTCTGCAAGTACTAATAGACACGGGCAGTACCCATAATTTTATGGATCAAGAGCTAGCAAAGCAACTGAAGTGTAACACTAGTGAGATCCAAAAGCAATCCATCAGCGTAGCTGATGGGAGGAGGGTACAAACAGCCACAATCTGTAAAAATGTACAGTGGCTATTGCAGGGTACCACATTTGTTTCTGACTTCCTACTACTACCGCTAGGAAGTGTGGATATTGTTTTGGGAGTACAATAGCTGAACACACTAGGAAGAATATTATTTGATTTCAGGAACAGAATCATTGAATTCAACTTTGAAGGGAAGAAGCATGTCCTTAGGGGAGCCAACAACCAACTTAAAGCCTCAAAAATGAAAGGTGTTGAGAAAGGGAGCATTGATAAGGCTCAACTCTATATGATGGCTTTAACTACCAAGGATGACACCTCAACAACTTGTTTCCATATTCAGGCTGAGCAGGGTACCCCTAATATCCCTGGAATTACTGCTTTACTTGAACAATTCAATAGTGTCTTTGAATTGCCAACCACACTTCCACCATATAGGGATTCATTTGATCATAAAATTCCTTTGATGGAATCTGCCAACCCAGTAAACAAAAGACCTTATAGATATCCCGGGGTTAAGAAGGATATCATTGAGAAGTTGGTGCAAGAGATGCTGGACCAGGGGGTTATTCAACATAGCACCAGTCCTTACGCATCTCCAGTTGTTTTGGTAGGGAAGAAAGATGGAAGTTGGCGATTATGTGTGGATTACAGAGAGCTGAATCAACAAACTGTAAAAGACAAGTATCCTATTCCTATTATAGAAGATCTATTGGATGAATTGGGAGGGGCAATGATATTTTCCCAGATAAATCTCAGGGCCGGGTATCACCAACTGAGAATGCATGATGCAGATGTCTATAACAGCATTCAGAACTCATGAGGGGCATTATGAATTTCTAGTAATGCCTTTTGGTCTAACCAATGCCCCCTCTTCCTTCCAAGCTCTTATGAATGCAGTGTTCAAGCCATTATTGAGGAGATTTGTACTAGTATTTTTTGATGATATACTAGTTTACAGTAAGAGCTTAGAAGGCCATATTGAACATATAAGGGCAGTCCTGCAACTTATGAAGGATTACCAACTCTATGCTAAAAAATCAAAGTGTGCTTTTGGGGTAACCAAGGTGGAATACTTGGGTCACTTCATAAGCTCAGAAGGAGTGGCTACTGATCCAAGGAAGATACAAGCAGTACAACAATGGCCAATTCCTACCAACATCAAGGAATTGAGAGGATTTTTGGGGTTGGCCGGATATTACAGAAGGTTTATCAAAGGGTTTGGGGCTATGTGTAAACCACTCCAGGAGTTGTTAAAGAAAGATGCATTTGGATGGTCAGAAGATGCTACTACAGCATTCCTTAAGGTCAAACAGGCCCTAACCTCTACCCCAGTATTAGCCATGCCAGACTATTCCAAACCCTTTGTCATAGAGACTGATGCTAGTGGCAAAGGAATTGGGGCAGTTTTAATGCAACAAGGACACCCAATTGCTTACATCAGTAAAGCATTAGCCCCCAAACACCAGGCTATGTCAGTATATGACAGAGAATTATTGGCCCTAATTTTTGCTGTGACTAAATGGTCTCACTATCTGCTGGGTAAGCCATTTATTGTAAGAACTGACCAAAAAGCTTTAAAGTATCTGCTGGATCAGAAGGCCCATACAGATTTTCAAATAGCAAGGATCACAAAATTGATGGCTTGTGATTTCACCATTGAGTACAAAAAGGGGTCTGAGAATAAAGCTGCTGATGCTCTATCAAGGAAGCCTGGAGCCGAGTTGTTGGCCATTTCTCTTATTCCACAAGACTCAACTCTCCTTGATCAAATTAAAGCTTCATGGCAGACAGACACCTCCTTACAGGAACTTATTTCTAAACTCCAACAACAGCCTCACAAATTTTTTACTTGGATTAATGAGCAACTCAGATGGAAGGGTAGGTTGGTGGTGGGAAATAACCCACAACTGAGGAATGCTATTATTGACTTATGGCACAGTACAACTCAAGGAGGACATTCCGGAATGGATGCTACAATTAAAAGGTTACAAGCTCTTTTTTATTGGAAGTCCCTTATTCCAGATGTTAGAGCATTCATCAATAAGTGTGATATCTGTCAGAGACACAAATATGATGTTGCTGTTTATCCAGGCCTATTGCAACCCCTGCCTATTCCTGAAGGTGTATGGACTGATATTTGCATGGACTTCATATTTGTATATAATACGCATATCCATTGTAAAGATACGGTGTGAAATAATAAACAAGCTTCTTCTTCCCTATCTCTCTCTCAATTCTTCTCTCGGATGAATTCCCTGGATTGAATTGTTCATATTCTTCGAAATATCTCATTTCCTAGAATATTCTCCTTGATTTTTGGTATCAATAGTCTTCCTCATCGGCACAGGTTCCTTGTTTGCCAAAACGGATTGCCTTCTTCGACAAAAATGGTTGGATTCTTCGCCAAAACAGTTTCTCCCTTCGTGTTTCAAGTGTCCCATTCCTCATAGAGCTTTGTTCGAGGAACAGAGTAGAAACGGAAGAAATTAAGTGGAACTAACCCTAAGAGAAATTGTTGAGGACCCGTCGTGCGGTCCAAAACAAATTAAAAATTTATAAAATATCCTTAACTAACCCCCAAGATATAATCAAATAAAAACTATAGCTAGTGCAAATAAGGGTTGATCCCACAGGGAAAGTTTGTATATTTTTCAAAATCATTTTAGTATGCGAATACGTTGTCACGAAAATAAATATAAAAATAAAACTAAATACTACACATAAGATAACACCTATAAAACTTATACTATAACTTATAGTCTTATACAAAATGGGGGGGTTCATGAAAAATAAATATTTTTTTGGTTTTTTTTAAATATTCTCTTTTTTTGGTTTTTTTGATAAAATGAGAAAAAACAAGCTCAAAAGATAATCAACTTCTTTAACCAAGGTAACCCGAAAAACACTGCCAAAAAACCCGAAACAAAATCAGAAGAACAAACACAATCAAACATTACACGTATAATAGGCACATAGACAATATATTATGTAACTTACGCACTTAAAAATAGAAAATCAATCAAAGGCCGAGTCGATTCATTTTCTTAAACACGATATGGAGGATTGTCAACTTTCCGCACGACCTGGAGTCATGTAATTCAAGAATTGCATATTGAGACAAATCAAGAACCACAGCTCACCAATCAAGCATGAAAACATACTTCCACTATAGAAAAAGCTTATAAAAGAGCAAATTTTTTATCATTCTAACTCCCACGCATAATCTATTCACAAACTGCCAATACCTTATGCATTTTAATAAACCTTTTCTCCTAATGAAGAGCACATTTCACAGATTTCCATGAACTTCTCAAACCAATGACGTTTTTTTATTTACATATAAGAACATAACATATTTTCAATAAATCAAAAAATTGTTTATTGCACTTAAACAATCTCAATTTTAATGAAAATGACAAACAAACACACAATATAACAAAATCACTCCATAACGAATTCTAAGGAAAATGAATCAACTTATGGGGCTAAGAAGTCCAAATTGCTTAAAACCAACGAACACAAGTCACAGCAAGAATCACATATGAATTCGGAGTTCATTAAATTTAACTATCTTATGGAGCGAAAATAGCTTCAACAAAAATCGAGTTCTACATACCAACCTACTCATGAAATTAAATTAACAATTCAACCAATCCAACATCAACTTGTGCAATAATTGAAGTAAACTAGTGTGAATAAATTTTCACTCATAAGCGATTTAATATAAACATTTAAACTAGAACATACACCCAAAAGAACACCAACCATTATATTTTTAGGGTAACAAAAAAAAAGATATATTGAAAAAAAACAACACTTTTACATAGAAACAACAAAAGAATTGAAGACCATAAAGGTATGACTTCCGGATTAAGTCCGGAAGCCAATTTATTTGGGTACCTATAGAAGAAGATGATGAAGAATTTGAAGAATGTTTGGTGATTCCCAAGAACTACTAGTCTGGCCTTGTCACGCTCTTTAGTGCCATCAGAGTTGAATTTCGTTTTAAATACCCATTGACACCCCAAAGCTGTCCGATTGAAAGGTAATTCCGTGAGATCCCATGTATGATTATTCTCCAGGGCTTGAATTTCCTTGTGCATAGCTTCACGCCAATTAGAATGGGGAGCAGCCTCGGCGTAATTCTTGGGAACAAATTGGGGACTGATGGCTCCCAAAAAACCTTGGTACATGTCATGCAAGTTATAATAACAAACAAAGTTGGCAACAGGATAGTGTGTACCTGAAGACGAGGAACAAACAAGAGAGGCGCACAGCGAAGCATTAGATTGAATAAAATTAACGATGTAATCACTAAGATGGGAAGGCTGACGACGTTGCCGTTGAGGACGAGAAGGGGGTACAGAAGCTGTATCGGTAGGAGTTGGAGTGCTGCTGTCACCGGCGCTGTGGTCCTCGGTCTGGGCGGGCTGAGTGACATAGACCGCTGGAACAACAGTGTCGACCGGCTACGCTGGGAGAACTGACGGATTAGGCAGCGGGACTTCAGGGAAATCGGCTAAGGCACTGGGCTGTGGAGTTTCAGTGGGTGGGGTGGTTGTGGCGAATGAGAATTGAGATTTGTCAAAAGAGATATCCCGGGTGTGAAAGAAACGGTGGGTGTCAAGAGCGTAGACGTGCCAGCCTTTAGTACCAGTGGGGTACCCGACAAACATGCATTTGGTGCTATGTGGGAAGAATTTCTTTGAAGTTGAGAGACGAACAAAACAAAGACACCCAAATATGCGCAAGTGACTGAGATTTGGTGCTTTATTAAGGAGAATTTCAAACGGGGATTTCCCACCCCGGAGTTTAGTAGGAGTATGGTTAATGAGATTAACAGCAGTACGAACACACTCGCCCTAGAATTCAATAGGTTGGCTAGCCTGAAACATCAAGGAGCGAGCAACATTCAAAATATGGCGATGTTTACGTTTGACACACGAAGTTTGAAAAAGAACACCCATGGACAAATAGTAAGCACAGAGATGTCGATTGACAAACTCAGTTCCATTGTCGGAACGAACAACTTTTATGGTTTTATGGAACTGAGTTTGGATCAGACTATAAAAAACTGTTTAAGGCAACTAGTTACTTCAGATTTTTCAATAATCAAATAAGCCCAAACAGCGCGTGAATGATCATCGACAATAGTAAGAAAATAATGTGCACCAGTACCCATACCACGGGGTATAAGGTCCCCACAAATTCCAGTGAACTAAATAAAAAAACTTGTAGCTTTATTTGAACTGAGAGGAAAACTACTACGGGTTTGTTTAGACTGAAAACAAATTTCACAAGACTGTAATAATTTGAGTTTAGAAGTACTCGAAACATGGATAAGGGACGACAAAACTTGAGGAGAAGGATGGCCCAAACGCTTGTGGAGAAGAATTGGATCTCCTTGACTAGCAAACGCAGGACTGGACGGACGAAATATAAACACTCTGTTGTTTGCGTTACCCCGTCCAATCTCCATCTTCGTTGCACAATCCTGTATAACACAACAATGTTTATTAAAAATAAATAAACAGGAATTGTCTCGAATTAGGCAGCCAACTGAAATAAGATTGCACAGGAGTTGTGGCACAAGTAACACATCCTAGAGAGTAACTTCCAGGGAAAGGCAAACGCGCCCACAGCGGGTTGCCGTAATATGCATACCATTAGGCAAAGTTATGACACAAGGCGTGATGGGAACAATATGAGACAAATATAAGATATTAACAGTCATGAGATGGGAAGCGCCGCTATCAATGAGCCACTCATGGGAAGAAGAGTCACCACTAGGACCTGTACCCTTATCGGTAGAAGACGTGTCAAGCATGGATAACAAGCGAGAGACCTGATCAGACGTAAGGCCCAAAGGGTTGGTGTTCGGGCCCGATCTACCCCCTACGGCATGTGCTCCCCCTGTCGGTGTGCTTGCCCCTCTGCCAGCGGGGGTGCTGCTGGAAGACCCAAACCCTCGACTGGAACATCCTCCATGGCCAGAGACTCCCCCTCGGCCATAACCTTTTCCCAAGGGGTAGCCGTGCAACTGTTAACAACAGTCTTTGGAGTGACCATCTTTGCCCCAATGAGTGAAAGAGTAAAGGGGAGGGTCTCCACAACCCGTAGGGGCAATAGGCCATTGCATGGTGAAGGCGACTGCATCGGTTCGATCGTCGTCCCTCCCGCGAACAATGTTCTTGTGACATTCTTCTTGGACAATCAAAGCATAAGCCTGGTGAATATTAGGAACGGGTTTGGTAGCAATGAGTTGGGAACGAATATGGCCAAATTGTTCGTCGTCGAGGCGAAGTAAAAGGTGATAAGTTTTCTCTTGTTCTTCTCGAGCTCGAATGAGTACGGCAGCCTCACAGCAACAGCCGCACGTAGGGTCGACGAATCCATAGATCTTGTTCCAAAGTGTCACAAATTGGTTGTCCACCACGGTTTGTCCCTTTTGCCGGAGAGATTGAAGTTTGGATTTTAATTGATGAACACGAGGGCCGTTAGACCCCCCATAGCGGCTTTTCAGATCTAACCACAATTCGTGAGCCACTTTGTGAGAAATAATGGATGGTAGTATGTGTTCACTAACACTATTGCATATCCAAGAGAAAATAATAGAGTTATTAGCCTTCCATGCCACAAGCTCTTGTTCGTCAGTTGGCTTGGGAAAACCCATGGGGGTTAAGAATCCGGTGCGGCTTCGTCCCTCTAAGGCATTAAGAATTGTTTTCTCCCACACATCATAATTATCCCCTTTGAGTAGATGTTTTGTCAAGGAACTGCCTGCACTTTCGGATGGATGGATATAGTAAAGAGACGTGGGATCGTGGATCATCTTGAGTTTCTTGTTGGCTTCGATTGACATGATGTGCAGAGAAAAAGAGAACGACTGCTGTGGAGAGACGGAAACGGCAAGACTGCCTGGCCGAGAAGAACTCCGACGTGAGCCGAAGTGAACACCGGCGTGAGACGGTGTGTGATGGCCGACGTGAGGCGGCGAGCAAGACGGCCGACGAACGTGGCGAGAAAACGGTGGCGGCACCGTGTGAAAAAACGCAACTAGGGTTTACGTTCCTAGGGTTTTTGGTTATGTTCGGGAATTGTCTCCGATACCATGTAGAATTGTGTAAAACTTGACTTGATTGTTTCAATAACCACAACGAACATATATACAAGATACACAGGCTACATCTAACGCACGAACATATATACAAGATACACATGCTACATCTAACGCTAATGGGCCTGGGCCCGTTACAACACATGTTACAAAATATACATACGCTAATACACTTGAATATTCTAGATAGTGAATTTGCACAAATGATTAAGCTTTAAAATATTTCATGTTAAATTTGAATATGAGTTATAAACATATATTGAATGCTGCAAATTTTCAAAGATTAAGATGTGTATTTAATATTTCCAAGTGCAAGATGAAAGTCTTGTTTAAAATACTAATTGTTGCCAATTAGCTCAAATGATAGGGTTCGAATACTAATGTACTACAAATATGGGTTCAAATCCTGCATAGGCCAAATATTTTTCAAATCTGTATTACACTTGCTCTAGCGTATTTTAATCTTTCTCATTACATCCAAAGTCAATTAAAAGTCATTATTCATTTGTCTCGAACTATAGATAAATAATGCATGCATAATTTACAACACGTATTGCAGTTATATCTTAAAATGATGCATACATGTAAAAATATTACCATGTGAGGAAAACAATATGCAAAAAAACGTTTAAGAAAGTGATAAAAAAAGGGATATATGATGGAACACTATTTAGAAAAAAATTGAATTATAAACCACACATTATTTTCGTTCAAAATTTTTTAATGATAATAAATAAATAAATCTCTTTCAGTTTAAGAATTGCATAAATAAACCACATATTAAGAAATTCACTTTAATCTCTTGAACTTTAAGATAAATAATGCATGCATAATTTACAATACGTATTGCAGTTATATATTAAAATGATACATACATGTAAAAATATTATCATGTGAGGAAAACACTATAAAAAAATATTTAGAGCAAAAAAAATAGAATTATAAACCACATATTATTTTGGTACAAAAATTTTTAATGATAATAAATAAATAAATCTCTTGCAATATAAGAAATGCATTAAAATAAAGCAAAAAAAAAGAAATAAAATATTATAAAGAGGTTAATAGTAAATATTAGTCATTTTGATTTGGAAAAAAAAATAGTTCACAAATTAAAAAAAGAGAGAAAAAATAAATCATTAACTTGACAAATCCATTATTCCACAATTAAAAAATGATTAATATCACAATCACTAATATGACTACTCCTAATGGCTAAAGATTCGGACCTTAATGCATATGGATGGTTACCTATTTTAATTACTGCAATCTTTACAAAAATGCCCTCACTTGTCTATCTCTTCATATTTAATTACTGCAATATATAAATATAAATATAAATATAAATATATATATATATATATATATATATATATATATATATATATATATATATATATATATATATATATATATATATATATATATATATATATATATATATATATATATATATATATATACTTCCGCCATAAGAACGATCCCTGGCGACCGTTCACCCCTAGAAGCAATTGACGGCAATATACTGAGCGAAGAGATGGATCTGAGAATCTTCAAGTTTGGGAAAGAAGGAGGGATCATCAAAGCTATCCAGATTACTGGCATAATTCAAGGAACCGACGAGGGTACGATCTCCACATCCCATGGATTCAACGCGAAAGTCTCAATCAATCTCACTCATTCCGAATTCAAACCAAGGTTTTTAATCTCTTTCACTCTAATTTTAACAAGAACTTCTGTATTAGTGAAATTGGAAAGAGGAATTACGATATATGGTTTGACGTCGATGGATTAATTTGGATTCTTGAGCTATTCCCCAAACTAATTCAGAGAAAATCCTGGGCTATCACCCGATTTGAAAAGCATCGGAAAATCACCATTTCTTTTGGATATAATAGCTGGGGTAATTATATTCGGATACTTGAATCGAGAAGAGAGGGGAACACCTCCCTCTTTGTTCCTGCGGATAGAGGGGGTATGGTCTATTTTTTTGATGCCATTGAAGAGTTCATTGGTTCTAGAACAGAAGGAAATGTTGCTACTGCTTCAGGGAATGATAAGTTAGGAAGAGAAGTAGAGGACCTAGGTATTGTTAATCCTCTGCAGCTAGAAGAATTCCCAAGAGTAGAACAAGCTAAAAGGAACTCTTCACTGGAGCCACTTAGCCGGGAAGAGCAATGTTTAATTGACGGGCTGTTTAACCAAAATTTGGAGGTGCAAGCATCACGTTTGGGGGACCCTATGCAATCAGAGCTGGACCTCATGATAATTGATGATAAAGTAGAAGATCAGGCACGAGGAGACCTTCAAAAACAGTATGAGATGCTAAAGCCGATTTTCGAACAACACATTAGCGATGACTTTGAGAATTCTCTTTGGATGATCAAGGAAGCGTTACGCTCGCCTTTTGTCAAGGATAAGATCCAACAGGGGCTCGTGTCAACACTTCGGGGGAAGGCAATAAAAGCGACAAGGGAGGCTATGAAGAGTGCACAGTGCATCAGGGCTATTAAACTGAAAGGTACACATCATCCAGTTCTCTTATGCTGTGCAAACATTGACGTACCTATCATCACGCCATTGTGTGAACACCTAATCGACTACGAATGATAGGGAGGACTCAGTTTTCTTTATCTTTTGTTGGCTGCTTTGTTGGGGTCATAGATGTTTTTTTTGAGTTATAATTAGCAAGGATTACCAACACTTTACAAAATGGTCTATACTCTGGCAGCAACCAAATTGGTTCAGGATTCCTCACCGTGCATCTTGGCTAGACTTTCTTCAGTGCCCTAAAATTGGAGTCATGTTTTGGGCCTACTATGCTGTTCTCTCACTTCTCTGCATTTACATAAAGCTTGGAGCTGGCAGACTCTTTACGCTTCAATGTATATTCCGCAAGCTGTATTCTCAATCATGGAATCATCAATGTAGGGAAGACAGTACACATGGGTTAGGAGGCATTATTATTTTCATTGGGACCTCTCCCTGCAGGATTGTGTTTAGACTATATGCTTGGTTGTCTTTTTGGTTTTAGACTCTGCGTAAGGTTGTTTCATTTGTATCTTTCCCTTCTTTTTTTTCTTTTGGCCCTTTGTTGGGGCCGGGCCACCCCCTCTTTTTTTTTTTGTAGTTTTTCCTTTTTTTAATAAAAATTTTTACTTAATATATATATATATATATATATATATATATAGACACACACACACATACACACACATAAACACGGTAAGTCTAAAATGACACCAGTGCTACTAGTGTCATTTGCTTACACCAGTTCGTTTGGGGTACCTACGATGCTTCGTTTGTAAAAAAGACAGTTCTTACACCCCGACGGTTGGAGTTGTGGGGGCTATGGTTGGGGTGGTGGGGGCGGTTGGGGTGGTGGGGACAGTTGGGGTGGCTTTGGTGTTTAGATGAAGAACAAGCTTATGAAGAACATGGGTATTTTGGGCAATGCAGGCCATTAGTCAACTCCTACCAAAAAATGGAGAATAGTCAAACTAGGATGTTTAAATTTGGACGGAGGGAATAGTCATTAATTGTTTTGGTAACTTTATTAAAATACTACTCTCTTGGTTCCCATGACATTGAGAATTTATGTCATGGAATGACCTGGGGGTGCCTAGGTCCACCATTCGTAAAATTGATGAATCTTATCCTCCTTAACCCCCGATAAACCCCCAACCCCGCCACGACCCGAACACACCTCCCACCCTTTTCAATTGCACCGTCAAAGTTAATTTTGACTTTAGAGTCAAATTTTGACTCTAAAATCAAAATTAACTCGGGGCGCAATTGAAGGGGGGGGGTGAGGGGTCCGTTCCGGTTGGGGCGGGGTGGGGGGTTCACAGGGTGATTAGTAAAGTGGGAAAAGTCAATTTTATGAACGGGGCATTGGAGCACACTCGGGTCATCCCATGACATTGATTCCCAATGTCATGGTAATCGGCCTCTATATTTATTGGTGTTAACTCATAAATTCATTAAGTTCTTATCTATCATATAAACTCATTTTTTAATTTCTCACCCATCCACTTTATTTGAAGCCAATTTATTTATATCATACAGAGTAAAATTTTATCATTGTTTCTTTCAGATAATAGTTAATTATTTTTACCGTGCAACGCACGGCAAGTGTTAAAGATTTTGATTTGCAATAAAGACATTCCAACCAAACTATGAATGTAGTATAAAAAGAAGTGTTCCAAAACTTATAACACTTCCAAAACTCTCCTTTTTCTGATTTCAATCTATATAATCTTTCAGGTTTTTGTGACGTTTTTCCTTAATTCAAAATATTGAGTGATTATATGTCAATTAATAGCCCGTGCATCGCACGGGTACGGGTCTAGTATGGGGTTACAACTAGGCTCTTAAATTGTAATCCTGCTTCAAATTAGAATTTTTTGGAACACTATTTAATCGTGGTTGTGTGAACTTTTCGGCGTTGCATGTGCTATTATTTTTCTTCTGTTAATTGATGAGCAAGAAACAAAGTTCATCTTTGCAGGATAAACAAGACCGAAATTGCCAATTACATTATCTTGCGAGAAATAGAAAACAACTTCTCAAAATAAAAAACAACTTCTTGACGAACCGATGCAGTCGCCTTCGCCATGCAACGACCTATTGCCCCTACGGGTCGTGGAGACCCTCCCCTTTACTGTGGCACTCATTGCGGAAAAAGATGGTCACTCCAAAGACTGTTGTTAACAGTTGCCCGGCTACCCCCCGGGAATTGGCTTGGGGAAACCCGTGGGGGTTAAGAATCCGGGGCGGGTTTGTCCCTCTAAGGCATTAATAATTGTTTTCTCCCACACATCATAATTATCCCCTTTGAGTAAATGTTTTGTAAAAGAATTGCCCTCACTTTCGGATGGATGAATATAGTACAGAGACGTGGGATCGTTGATCAACCTGACTTTCTTGGTGGCTTCGGTTGACATGATGTGTAGAGAAAAAGAGAACGGATGCTGTGGAGAGACGGAAACGTCACGACTGTCCGGGAAGAACTCCGATGTGAGCGAAAGTGAACACCGGCTTGAGACAGTGTGTGATGGCCGACGTGAGGCGGCGATGCAAGACGGCCGACGTGAGGCGGCGAGAAAATGGTCGCGGCCACGTGTGAAGAAAACGCAACTAGGGCTTACGTTATTAGGGTTTTTGGTTATGTCTAGGAATTGGCTCCAACACCATGTAGAATTGTGTAAAACTTGACTTGATTGTTTCAATAACCACAACGAACATATATACAAGATACACATGCTACATCTAACGCTAGTGGGCCTGGGCCCGTTACAACACATGTTACAAAATATACATACGCTAATACACTTGAATATTCTAGATAGTGAATTTGCACAAATGATTAAGCTTTAAAATATTTCATGTTAAATTTGATTATGAGTTATAAACATATTGAATGCTGCAAATTTTAAAAGATTAAAATATGTATTTAATATTTCCAAGTGCCAGATGAGAGACTTGTTTAAAATACTAATTGTTCCCAATTAGCTCAAATGATAGGGTTCGAATACTAATGTACTACTAATATGGGTTCGAATCCTGCATAGGCAAAATATTTTTCAAATCTGTATTACACTTGTTCTAGCATATTATAATCTTTCTCATTACATCCAAAGTCAATTAAAAGTCATTATTCATTAGTCTGGAACTATAGATAAATAATGCATGTATACTTTACAACACGTATTGCAGTTATATATTAAAAAGATGCATACATGTAAAATATTACCATGTGAGGAAAACAATATGTAAAAAAAAATGTTTAAGAAAGTGATGAAAAAAGGGATATATGCTAGAACACTATTTAGGAAAAAATTAAATTATAAACCACACATTATTTTTGTTCAAAATTTTATAATGATAATAAATAAATAAATCTCTTGGACTTTAAGAATTGCATAAATAAACCACATATTAAGAAATTCACTTTAATATCTTGCACTTTAAGATAAATAATGCATGCATAATTTACAATACGTATTGCAGTTATATATTAAAATTATACATACATGTAAAAATATTATCATGTGAGGAAAACAATATGCAAAAATATTTAGAGAAAAAAAATTGAATTATAAACCACATATTACCTCCGTCCCAGAGTATTTGTCCACTTTCATTTTTACGCACCATCCAATACAGTTCTTTAATCAATTTTATCTTGTAATTTGTATATTAAAAAATTACAGAAATTATATATTAATAATCTATATGTTAAGTCAAATCAAACAAGATCACACATGACTATATTTAGGCTTATACATTGAGAAAATTTGATGAGTCAAAGTGATTAGATGAACAGTTCCAAAAGTCAAAACTAGACGAATACTCCGGGACGGAGGGAGTATTGTTTTGGTTCAAAAACTTTTAATGATACTAAATAAATAAATCTCTTGTAATTTAAGAAATGCATTAAAATAAAGCAAAAAAAAAATAAAATATTATAAAGAGGTTAATAGTAAATTTTATTCATTTTGATTTGGATAAAAAATATAGTTTACAAATTAAAAAATTTTACTTACCGTTTCCGAATAAGCAGAATAACAGCTCAGAGTCTTGAAAAGAGATCTGGGCGACAATGGCTCCAGAATTCTCTATAAAATAATCCTAAACTAATACGGAGTATTATTTAAGGGAATGCTTGTTTTACATTCTCGATCTCCTCCCTTTGTGTCTGGTGAGAGTTCTTCTCTTGTACCGACCATGACATTTGAATCGATGTTTGATATAATAAACAAGTGTGGTAGTAATTAAAGGTATCCCAAAAAATGCAAAATATAAGGATTGAAAATGTCGGAAATAGCCAAGGAGAAAGAAGAGCATCATTTCCGAAGATTCGTCGAAGGGGCTAAAGATCGTCTTGGACTTCAAACGACCTCGTTTAGGTCCTTCGAAAATTATCATCCTCTTTCAACGGCAATGTAACGGTGAATCGTTAATTTTAATATTTCCGTTGAATTTATGAAGTAACGGTCACATACAGAGACATTTTGTTAGTTGGTTAAAAAAATTTTTTTGTTATTTCGCGAGAATGAAAGTCACACGATTCAAGCCATGTCTTTCTAGATGTAGCAAGACATTCTCATAAATTCTAACCTTTTTATGTCCTTTTCCATAAATCTATCTATTATTTAAAAAGACATGGATTTCCAATGGTCTTTTCCCGCCCATTTCATGGTGTAGAGAATATGGTAATTCTTCACTCCATATGGTAATTACTTAATGGTAATTAATGGATCATTAAAATAACCGTGTATAAATAACTGTGGTAATTTAATTTAGTTACCGTAATTGAGTAATTACTCAATTAATATTACCGTGAATATAAAATTAGTGTAATTGTGATCAACATATAACCGTGTAATTTAAAATAACCGTGTATAAAAAAGGTATAAAAACCGTGTATAAAAAAGGTAACGAATGCTCAACTAAAAATGATAATCTATCTATTATTTAAAAAGACATGGATTTCCATTGGTCTTTTCCCGCCCATTTCATGGTGTAGAGAATATGGTAATTCTTCACTCCATATGGTAATTACTAAATGGTAATTAATGGATCATTAAAATAACCGTGTATAAATAACTGTGGTAATTTAATTTAGTTAGCGTAATTGAGTAATTACTCAATTAATATTACCGTGAATATAATATTAGTGTAATTGTGATCAACATATAACTGTGTAATTTAAAATAACCGTGTATAAAAAAGGTATAAAAACTGTGTATAAAAAAGGTAACGAATGCTCAACTAAAAATGATAATTTAATATAACCGTGTAATTAAAATGGTAACGAATGTTAATTTATATAAACGTGTGTAAAAAAGGTAACAAATGGAAATTTAATTTAATTCAGTTACCGTAATTGAGTAATTACTCAATTAATATTACCGTGAATATAAAATTAGTGTAGTTGTAATCAACATATAACCGTGTAATTTAAAATAACCGTGTATAAAAAAGGTATAAAAACCGTGTATAAAAAATGTAACGAATGCTCAACTAAAAATGATAATTTAATATAATCATGTGATTAAAATGGTAACAAATGT